TAGACATAAAAGAAAAATGCAACATGCTCGACGAATTGGTTTACAAAAATTATGGGATTTTATAATGCGTATTGTTACAAGTACAACAATGCCATGGAGAATTGTTATTGGACGATTAGGAAGACTTGGTCATGGAGAATTAAAAAGTACAATTAAATCAATAAAAAAAAAAAAGAACTGAAAATTTCTATTTTATTATTCTTTAGATTGGGGAATAATATTATCAAAAAAGAATCTTGTTCGTTGTGCTACATTAATACGTGAATCATGTTCAATGTGTCGTATTCTACGTAGTCATGATCATCCAGTTATATTATCAGCTTGTTTGATATCTATGGAAACACATCCATTATTAACAATTCTACCAGAATCACTTGAACTTGGAGAAATGCGTGGAACACAACCATCAAATAATAATACAACAACAATGCAAAATAATGGACAAGTTTTAAGTGATGTTTCAGTAACACATATTCTTACATTACCAACATCAGCATCTGTACAGGTAAGATTAAAAACAAAAAGACAATGATAATAAGTAATTTATGAATTATTCGATTGTTATCTAAATTGTTAGTGTTTCGTGGAGTTAAGTGACAAAATCAAGAAGCCTCGAATATCTCATTCGTTTTCAATAGCCACTCATTGGTTTCATTTTTAGATTTAATATCTTTTCTATATCATAAAAGTCAATATATTGATATTCAATAGAAAGTTCATAATATTCATTATAATAGAAATATTTTTTATTACGACTTTTTGTGTTTTTCTTTTCTTTTATATAGCATGTACAGACAATTCCTCGACTAAGTGATCCTCGTCAATTATCAAATGATAATGAAGATGATTTATTTAGAATATTTGAAACATTTGAGAGTGATCCATTTTGTAATATGCAATCACCACCACCAGATTTTGAATTACCACCTACTGGTGTTCTTGATATAAATCATAATGGAAATCCAATAGGACATATTAATCGTTCAAACAGTTTATCTGTATCACAACAGTATTATAATGGAAATGATCCATATGGAAATTCTCTACATAATTCAAATATAAAATCAAATTCGTTACTTCATTTAGATTCTGAAGTCGATTTAAATGATATACCATCATTACATCAACAACCACTTGCACTTGGTTTTTATGTTTCAACAATAGGTACATTAAATCCTTTACCAATATGGATGTTACAAGGAAAATCCAATCAACGATTAAATAATACATCAAGTGTATTTAAAGCAACATTACATGTTAGTGTACCTAATGCTCAACATTCAGATGATATGTTATTTGCTCAAAATCATGATCAAAAATCAATTCATCCACTTGATTCAAATTATACTTATGTTGTACTTAGGTAAAAAAAGTTTTTTTTTTGTTTCATTTTGTTTCGAAAATATTTTTATTTGATGAATCATTTTTTTGTTGTTGTTTTTCCTAGACATGTTCTTGAATCTTATAATCGTTTATCATGGTTATTAATAGATGCAAAAACTAATGAACGTGCTAGTTGTTTACCAATTCATATGGAAACATTATTAAAATTATATCATGCTTTTATTAAATTTGTATGATTTGAACTTGCATCTTTTCTTTTTCTTTTTTTTTCTTCTTAGCCATATTGGCATATCACACGTGATCTTTTATTTATTCTTCATATTATATTGAATAAAAAAAAACAATGAAGAAATCTCTCATTCTAATTTTGTTTTCTTTTTTTTTTTGTGTGTGTGTGTGTGTTTTATGTGCTCATTCATTTTCCTTTTGTGTTTTCTTCGAAACTAAAAAAAAAAACAGTTGTGCATTGTTGTTTTTTTTTTGTCATTAATTGTGATCTGACATGTTCGTGAAATATACAAAAGAAAAAAAAACAATTCGCATATATATATACATATATTTATTTATTTATTTTTGGCGTTCCTTGTATATTTGTATATTGATTTTTTTTTCTTTAGTGTGACCATTTCTACTTGCTTAACTATGCTTTATTTTTGTCTTGAGAGCAATGTTTTTTTTTTGTTTTCTCATGGTGAACATGCAGAAGCAGTGATTGTTTTCGTTTTTTTTTCTTTCTTTTCTACTACTACTATTATTAACCTTACTTCCGCCTGTCCATGTCTTCTATCAGACAGTTGCTTTGTTTTTTTTTCTTATTTAAAGTAAAAAAAATCTATCGTTTAAAAGCGAACTTGAAATCTTGGTCTGCTTTTCTATTTCGAAATGTTAAATAATATAGTTGAGTCATAATTGTGTAATAACATTTAACTTATTTCATTAAAAATAGGAGTGAAATTTTAGATTATAAAGAAATCGAATAATTAGGCGTGTATGATAAAATCATTGAAAACAAAAAAAGTTTTTTTTTTTTTTACTTTGTCATACACAGATCTCGATTACTCAGGTGTTTTTCAAGTCAGTCAAGTATAGTCAGACTTAAGTTGATTTTGCCGAGCTCTGTTGAAATCAAAGTAGCGTCATGCAGAGTTCGTCGGACCCTAAGTTTTTGGAACCGATACCTCACTCCTGATTTCAACGAAATGTTTGATCTATTAGCAGTCACTACCGGTTTCGGCTTTACTAAAGCGTCTCATCAGACGTCTTTAGATATTCGGACTTGTTATTATATATAACAATGACAAGTACCTTTATATTCTAACTAGAACAATATCTAGTTGAATACGAATGTGGATGTTGGTGTGGCAGTGAGCTGTGTCGGCATTAGAGCCCATCGGGTCCAAAAATTTCTGGACCCCAACCCAACTGATTAATTTTGTTGGACCCGAACCTGGACCCGATCCGAATCTAGTTCTTAAAATTTTTTTTGATGTAAATTCCATGGTAAATAGATTTAGATATTATAGTCAAGAAAAGTTTTTTCATTTTTCTTCTAGTTTTCTGATAAATGAAATAAAGATTTTTTGAATAAGACAAAAGCAATAAAAGAAATTAAGAAATATTAAATCCATCAAAGTTTTTTTCTCATCCGGAGTCAATGGACTCTAGTCTGAATACACTCTTACCCTGCCAAGCCACATCCACACACATGACAGCATTGGGAAGAAGTGGCTTTTTCTTATTTTTCACGCAATACTCTGTCTTGTAGGAGAATATTGGGTTTTTTCTTTCCATTTCTCTTATTGAAATGTCGAACGAAGAAAAAGAAGTTGCAGCAGCGGTGACAACGCATCCTATTCAAATTCATTACATATATTCTGTCGTCAGTGCTGTTGGAAAAGAAATGCAATCTCTTTGCGAGATAATCTTATTTCGCTGAATTACTGAAAGAGAAAGTGCTGCATGCGCCACATACGAGTTAGGTTTTGTTTACATAGAGTTTGTCTATTGAGATATGGATAGAGATCTGAACAGAAACAGATAGAATACAAATATTCTACTTTATTTGAGCTAGGTTGATCATTTTCAACCAGCGCAGGGATAAAAGAACTGCAGACGTTGGTATAGGTGTAAGGTGCCGTCGCTCAAGAGTTGTAGCTGGACATGTGGGTGGAGTATTGTTTGACGTGCATGATATGAACTTGGATGTAAGGAGGAACATTATTATATCCACAACCAGGCACCCATACCTTTTTGCTTCGAGAACATCTGTTTATATGAACAATTCGGTAGTTTTAATTGCCTTCTATGTAGGAGCAGAACACTTGGTATTTCACTGATTGTTCAAACGCTATTTCATACAATCGTCACGTTCTGATGGATGCCGATCAATTAACGAGATTTATGTCGAGCAGTATGCACAACTCTCGAGTAAGAAGGATTGAAGCCTTAGCTCAATCGAATCGTGAAACCATGGCTTGGCTCAATAAAAAGAAAGGACACGTAATCGAGCTGGTCACCTATAGAATAATACGTTTGGGTGGCAAATTTTCTGTTCGCGAGCAAAAGAGCCAGCAGACGATCAATCAAGTTCTGAATTCTTGGCGAGGTGTTGTTACTCTTCAGGTTATTCCCGATATATTTAATGAGAACATTAGTTATTCATGTAGTTCGTATGGAGATCTTCAAAGATTGAACGAAACGATGCCCAATGTTCTAAAAAAATAAGAACTTTTTGGTGACAGTGAAAGAGTGCAGCAAGAAATTCGTAAATTCGAATACAACTTTGGGCAAATCCAAACAGCACTGGAAGAGATCATTCAGCTCACCAAAACGGGAGGTGGCGGTCATTTATCTAGCATCCAAGAACAAGTGGATAATGTCAACAATCAGCTGAAAGTACTGGGAGATGAGCACAAAAGTATTACTTTTGAATAGGACTCATCTTAAGAGTTTTTCAATGAGAAATATCTGTTTCTAATCATTATCATTCTAGCAACTCCGATTGAGCGATTTCATTCAAACTTTCTCATCAGTCTTCATCGTTGATCTTGTAATGTATATTTTATTAAAATAAATTAAAGAACTCGCTGAGTAAAACGCCATGTTAAGTCACCTATATGCTTTTCTCAAAACAGGTTCCGTTCGATCACTAAAATTATCTGAAGTGCTTTCCAACCTGAAAAACTGCACTCTAGAATGATTTTTCAAGGTTCTAGTGTCAAACATAGAACCGTTCAGCTTTTATTCTCGGCGGGTACCGATGTGAGTCTGCGCAGTAGGTGACGGTCAGGAGAAGATTCACACCCACATCCATAGAGAGAGAGAGAGAGAGAGTAGAGGATGTACCTCAGCCATGCACAAAGAGACAAAGGGAGATAGGGATGAGTTATGTCCATTGAGTGTTAGCTTTCTGTTATTCTTACAGGTCTTCCAAACTTAGACCATAAACACCGGCCAGGAACTATATTGGTGTTCGTGGCACATAATTGGACCACCCCCAGACTCACTGACATACCTCTCTGCATAGATTGGATATGACAGGACGTGAGTCTTTCCGCGCATGCATGAATGTTATGCACGCAACGGCTCTGCAAGGATGGTTTCTGGTCGCGCGCACGAATATAAATTAAAAAGAATTTGTCTGTTACAATGCAATTTTATTGAATACCAAAAAATAGAACACCATGATTACCAAAGTCAACGACATATAGATTGCCATGTCGATCGAAAGACAAACCACGGGGATATGCGAACCCATTTGCTTCTTCTTCTTCTTCTCTACCATTTCCATCCGCAATGACAGTGCCTTGTTTCGCTCCTTGAGGCCAACGCATCACTCGATGATTCCAAGTGTCTGCTACATAGAGGGTACCCAACGAATCGACGATGAGTCCGTTAGGGTGCGACAATTGTGTCAGAGTATACCCTCGGCCGTTACCTCCAGCAACGATAATACCTTCTTTTGCACCCTTATTCCATTTCATCACACGATGATTGTCCCAGTCTGATACATAGACAGCCTGTTGTCGATCGACAAAGATGTAGCGTGGCTTATTGAGCTGATTGAGATCATCACCTTCATCGTTGCCACCAGCTACGAGAGTTCCATTTTTGTCTCCTCCTATTTGATATCGTCTTACTTCATGTGCTTTGTAGTCAGAGATGTAGAGATATCTATGCTCATCCATGGCCAATCCATGACAATCGATGTTGTCGATGAGGATTTCTCCTTGTGTGCTACCACTATGACGTGACCATCGTACGACTCGTCGATTCCAGAGATCACAAATAATGAGACTGTTCGTCTCCTTGTCGATGAGCACGTCAGCTGGATTATTCAATTGATCCAATCGATTCCCATAGCCATTTCCTCCAGCAACAACTTGTCCATTCGTATCACCCATCTTCCATTGGATGATTCGATGATTGCCCCAGTCAGCGATGATCATTGTTTGATCATAATCGACGAAGAGACCTTCAGGCCAGAAGAGTTGATTGGTGTCACTACCCCATCCATATCCTCCAGCAACAGTCTTTCCATTCTGTGCCCAAGTGGCATTGACAGGAATATTGGGAATGGCTACAGTAGAGAAGAAAAATTAATCATAATCGTGCTCTCTATTTCTTGTGTCTGTGAATGGGATAGAGGACGAAATTGCTTCAATCAGAATGAGATATTCTAAATGGCGAAAAGCCTTGTTTCCATCTAGGTGGAACATAGTAATGTACACGCAATTCTCATCAAATCAATATATCAAGAGAAGAGCTCCTGTGATTCCCTCTGAGAGACGAAGGACAAAAGCGTATTTACCTTGATCTTTAATATATTAGAACTGAAAATCTTTGTGAGTCATACATGTTAAGGACTTGGGATTTGTTGTTTGAATGAGTTAAATCGATCTAGTCAGAGTAAAAAAAGGAGTATTATGCTGATACAATCGGTCTAAAGCTTTCGAGATACCGCTTGATTTATTTATTTTTGCTCGTTCTCCAAGTGGCCATCTGATAGACATTTCGAGGCGTCGATTTGGGGTTGTGGTGGGCATCGAAAGTGAAAACAGAGTGCTCGGGTTCTCAGTTTCCGATAGGTCGAGGGCTTGGTGATGGACTAGCAAAATATGGTGTTTTGAACTAGTCGAACGATTTTAATCGAGGGGATCAAAATAAACAGAATATTTCTGATAGATGTCTCAGTTTCGACCTGTCGAATGCTATCGAATAAATGCGAATAAGGAGATTAGAAGATGAGTACTTACGATAAAAAGTCGTCGAACATCAAAACTACTTCTCTCCTATGAAAATTGTATTTTCAATTGTTACATGGATAGCACTTTGGAAAGTAATTTTTCTTCAAATTTATTTTAAACTTCAGTTTACAAAATTAATTTTTTTTTAAAATCAAGTACTCAATCTTAAGGGTGTGGGGTGTGAATATGAGGCAATAACATGCCCACACCCTTTGTCATTAAGTTTTGACTTACATCCTGGTAACACTCTTTTAAAATCTTGTTCTGACTACTATAAAAAATGTTTAGTATTTCTGGTCTATACGTTTTATTTCAAGATTTATGGTTTTCTAAATTAGTTCCTAGTTTTTAAATTCTGACAAGATCATGCAAATATGCGGTTATACACTTTCATCAGGCTTCGGTTATCTGATCAAAAATTTAAAAAAAATAATGAATTCATACAGGATCTAATGTGAAAATACGAACGACTTTCGGTAAGGAATATTTAAGAAAATTAATGGGTGAAAGAAAGATTCAAAGTCGAGAAAAAAACAAAATAGCGTTTAATTCAAAAGTAATGGACAGATGTTGGCTCCTGTTAATGTTTAATAGACAAGTTTTGAAAAAAAAGTGTTTTACCAAAAGAGAGATCTTTTTCTTCTCTTTCGAATCATATATTATTATTTTTGCCTCACGGTCATAAACGAGGCATCGTGCCAGAAAGGAGAAGCACTCTTAAACGAATTCGCACTTTTCATTAGATTCAAAAAAATACCAATGCAAAATGTTTTCTAGAACTCTTCAGCAAACAAATTTTGAACTTTTTAAAACAGTTGACAGGGTTATTGTCTGCTTTTTCGAACAGTGTATCATTTATATTCATTGCATATTTATATATGAAAGGAGACAAAAAGAAGAATTTTCGTGCAATAACATTATCATTCCTTATGGCAAGATATTTTGAATCAATCCATATAAAAATTATAAATTCATTGTACAAGTGTCTCATTTCTCTCTCATCTCTTTCCATTCGTGAATGTGTGACAAATATGAATCATGTATTGTTCGAAGGAGAACAAGAAAATTTCCTATAAACCCAGCAGAAAACAATATTCTTTTCAGAACCTATCGAAGAGAAATAGGATCTGATATCTGCACTATTCATTTTGCATTATGAGTATCTCAATACTCATCAAGATCAGAATTGTAGTTGTCTTATTGAATTAAAAAACGATCGATTAAACTCAATTGAATTGATGAATTGATTGAATACAGTTGGAAATAATATCAAAACTTTCAACTTGAAGAATCTATCTGTAATAAAGATCTCACCTATATTTAATCGTGTCAATCACAATTCATGCCTATTATCTAATATCATACACTTCTATCATGTTGATGTCTTATGCTATTTGAAATAAATTACAAATTAATTAGCTATCTAAGAAAAAAAAAACTATTTTAGTATTATTCATTTTTATGAGTTTAAAAGAAAATATGTGATACCATTCTATGAAAAGATTTTCAGTCTAAATCAATGCTTTTTGATTACATGATTATATAGAACCAGACAAGTTGATTACTAATTTCAGTAAAATTATTTATTTTCTCAGAAAATTTTTAAAAAAGCTCAAGAAATTCAAAGAATCAAATAGAAGACAACACTCAATATTTGTTTTTTTCAAAACTTCCTAACTATCTGTAACACATATATATGTAAGTGATCAGCGAGACAAGAAACCTCTTGCAATTGAATCCACAGTGAATGATGAGACTTTGATTGTAATTTTTTTCCGTACTGTTAAAAAATTTCTATGTGTAAAGTTCGTTTATTTTAATTCAGCATCGAAAAACTGATTGGAAGAAGCTTAGTTGATTAGATTTCAAACCAAATGTCTTATCTTCTTAGAAACACTCGAAAACAATTGAAAAAACTACTGGAAAAAGCAATAGAAGTTTTCTCGATTACAATCAGTAGAGATAGACAAACATGTCAAAACACAATAGTGATACATTTAAGATGTAACATTAACCAGACAATAATGCATATTTGTTGTAAGATGTATTTATCATCAACGAAGTTCTTGTTACTATCTTTTTTAATGTGAAAAATGGTCGACAAAAGCCTTTCGTTGGATACAAACCAAAAAAAAATATCAGTTTAGATATTGACGAGTAGTTCTTCTAATCTTTATGTTACAGAGAAAACTAAAAGAAATAGTATTTCTTCAGGCTTTTTACTCTTAGAAGAAAAAAAATTTTTTTTATTTAATAATACTATTGAATATTTTGCTACTGTTCAAGTCAATTTAAGTTAGTTTTTCCTGGTAGAATCATCAAAATGTTTTTTTCTTATCTAATGTTTTCAGCTTAAAAATGAAGTTTGATTTTATATGACCCATATATTGGAGAAATAAGTTTTTTCTTTGTAGTGGCTTACACTCTGCTAATAGCATCTTGCATCTTTTTTTTATTATCGATTTAGCTTATTTACAAAAGTTGTAGATTGCGTTTATAAAAAAAGGTGTTTTCCAACTGTAAATGTTTCGATCATTTTCTTTAGAATCTTTCTCTTAAAATTCTATATTGCACACATTTCATCTTAACTCAATTCGTATTACAGTTGATGGCTTTAACCAGGCATGCACCAAAACCAAACCGCTTGGTTTTGAAGTATTGGTTTTGAGGTTTTGGTTTTGATAAGGTATTGGTTTTGATATAGTTTTGGTATCGATAGTTTTGGTTTTGTTAAGGTTTTGGTATTGAAGGTATTGATTTTGACCGAGTTTTGAGTTTTGTTTTGGTTTTGGTTTTGAGGTACTCATGAAAAAATTAACTTTTATAAAACAGACCCATAATCAAGGGGGGAAAAGCTGATTGCCATCAAGGCAATGATTGGCAATCAGCATCAATAGCTTATCAAAAACATGATTGTCACCCTGTGTAGTAATAAAAGTCAAAATTATTATCAGGAACAGCTAATATTCAATATCTGATAGTTAAAAAAACCGTGAGCAATCATTGACAATCATTAGCAATCATTGGCAATCATTGACAATCAGAAAATCAACTTCTTACCCTCACGG